GCCTGGGCACCGGCGAAGCAGCAGAGGCCGCCGGGCTCAAGTGCTCGGACTTGTAACGCTGGCACACTACGCGAGAACGTCCCGATCTGGGACGAGCCGCTTCATGTTGGGGATGTGGAAGTCGCGCGAGGCGGTGCGAAATCTGCCGGACACCCTCGTGCCCGTCCCCATGTGTAGCCTCGATGATCTCCCGAGCTAAGGGCGATGCCGGGGGAATGTACAGCCGGCTGTTGTACTGCAGCAAGTCGTCGACGAGCGCCCAGGGGCCCGTGCGTGTGCCGGCGGTGACCTCGTCGCGGAGGCGCGTGAAGCACCGGTCCTGGCGCCGCTAAGGCTGGCATTTTGCCGATGAAGTCAAAGCGAGGCGCAGACAAGGTTAAGATGGCGGCCTCCTCCGTGTCGCGCCCGTGATGGTAGCCCGCATAAATAGCGTTCGCATGGCTACCGGCTTGTATTCCACGGCGAAGTCGAACCCCAACAACTTGCCCACCCAATGATGCCGAGGGATGGTGGCGGGCGCCGGTCCAAAGAGTACTTGAGGGAGTAGTGATCGGTCTTGACGACGCAGCGCCGCCCCAGAGGTACGGGCCGCGATGATGACGGCGGCGCGCGGCACCGTGCCGATTAGCTCCCTTTCGTAGGCAGCGAGGGCACGATGACGCGGCGCGACGGGCCGGCTGAAGAACGCCACGGGGTGGCCGTCCTGGACGAGCACAGCGCCGAACCCGTGGGTGGACGCGTCGCACTCGACGGTGAACGGCTTGGCGAAGTCCGGCATGGCGAGGACGGGCGCCGATGTCACCGCTTGCCTTTAAGGGCGCCGTAAAAGCGGCGTCGGTGTCCTCATCCAGAGAACCCGTCTTTTCTTGGTGAGGGCCACGTCGTGGCGCGGCGATGGTGCCGTAGTTGTGGACGAACTTCCGGTAGTAACCGGCGAGGCCGAGAAAGCTGCGACCGCCGTGCCGAACGGGGAACCGCCACTGTGGATAGCTTGAACCTTGGCGGATCCATGGCGACGCCCGCCGGATATGACGTGGCGAGGTAGGACACCGAGGGGAGCCAAGGCACTTGCTGCGCTTGACGAAGAGCCGTCTTGACGAACCGAGCACGGAGAGCACGGTGACGCAGTGCCGCAGTGGTCGGTCCAAGTCGCATCAGAAATCAAAATGTCATCAAAGAAGACAAGCACGAAGCGTCCGCAGAACGGTCGAGCACGCCGTTCATCGGCGCTGAACGTTGCCGGGCGCGTTACGCCCCAAACGGCATGATGAGGAACTCGTAGAGGCCGTCGTGTGTACGGAAGGCGGTCTTGTGGACGTCCTCGGGCCGCATCCGCACTTGGTGATACCCCGACCGCAGATCGAGTTTGGTGAAGAAGCGGGCGCCGTGGAGCTCGTCGAGGAGCTCGTCGACGACGGGAATCGGGAACGCGTCCTTGACGGTGAGGGTGTTGAGGGCGCGGTAATCGACGCAGAAACGCCACGATCCGTCGGCCTTCTTGACGAGCAAGACCGGCGAGGAGAAGGGCGAGTCGCTGCGGCGGACGACGCCCTGCTCGATCATTGCGGCGCACTGGCGTTCTAGCTCGTCCTTGTGCGCCGCTGGGTAGCGGTACGGACGGACCGCCATGGGAGCGGAGCCAGGCTTGAGGACGATGGCATGGTCGCGGCCACGTGGAGGTGGGAGGCCCGTCGGTTCACCGAAGACGTCCTCATATGCGACCAGGAGCTCATCCAGGAGCATCCCACTGGCCGCGGCGAGGGTGCGCAGTTGCGCTATCGCGGTTGAGGCCACGCCTGTCCAGGCGAAGCGTTGCCCGTCTCGCTGGAACGCCATCGACCGGGAGGCGAAATCCCACACGATGGGACCCAACGTGCCGAGCCACCGAGTGCCAAGCACCACATCAAAACCTGCGAGGGGCATCACAAAGAGATCGGTGTGGAATGTGGAGCCGTTGATGGTGAACGCCGCGTCCCGGATGACACCGTGGCAGGCACGCCACGCGTTACGCCGTTGGCGGCGATGGTCGCATCGCGCGCTGGCTGGATCGGGAGGCGGCGGCGCCGCCGCCTCCTCACCGATGAAGCTGTGCATCGAGCCTCCATCCAGCAAGGCGAGGAGGGAGGCGTCACCGACGGTCACCTGGAGCTGGATCGTGTCCGCGATGGGCACGCCGGCGACGGCATGCAGGGAGAACACGGGCGCCTCCGTATCCCCGCGACGGCCGCCGCGTCACCCTCAACCGCGACGTCATCGATCTCCACCCCGTCGACGAAGAAGAGGCGACGGCAGAACCTGTTGTGGCCACGGGTGAATTTCTCGTCGCAATTGAAGCACAGACCTTGGCGGCGGCGTTCGGCCATCTCTTCCGACGTCGCCAGCGCCATTGGTGCTGCGTCATGACCACAATAGGGCGGCGGCCGGTGGGCGGCGCCAAGCAAACTGCTGGGCGCGCGCGTAGCGCGAGCCGTGGCGCAGCGCGAGTAGCGAGCCACGCGGCGGGGCTCGTGGTGGAGGTGGGCGCCGGCGATCGCGCCCATCAACTCCACCGGCGTGCCGAGCTCATGCGCGGCCGCGAGCGTCTCCGGATGGTGGATGCGACGGCGTACGAGAGAGCGCGAAGACCGCCGGTGAAGAGCCGGACGCTACCGACTCGCCGAGCCGACCAGCAGCCGCAGAGCGCTGAATCGGTTGGAGTATTCCTCCACTGCTCCGTCGCGCCGCTCTGGATAGTTCAAGAGCGGGCCGAACGCAGGGTGGGCCAAACGCAGTTCACGAAGTTCCTTGAAGCGCCCCACGTCGGGGCTCCCTCATCCTCGGCAAATGGGTGTACCAAGTCTGCGCGCGTCGTCCAGTGGTAGGGCGCCATGCCGACGCTCTTGGGCATGATGGTACGGTGGTGGCGGAAGTACGCCTCGAATTTGTTGAGGAAGAGCAATGCGGATCCGTGGTGCGTCAGTGGCGGAAAAATCCCACTTCTTGGGCCGGGGGTAGGTCGAGGTCACGCGACCCATCAGGGTGGCGAGTCTCGCTGTTGTCGGTGTCGAGGCCTTGTCCTTCATGGTCGCCATATCGGCCTTCGGAGGTGAGTTCGGCGGACATGTGCCGATCTCCTGCAAGAGGTCGGCGATGGTGGGCTCGGCCATGTCGGCCCAGGCGGTGAAATTTGGGATGGCGGCGCTTGGTGGTGGGCTAGGGGCGGCGGTGGTGTGGAAGATGAAGGCACTGCAATTTCTGAAATGAGGATCGAGTGGATCGTGATACCAGTGTTGTCAAGGGCCTTATGATCTAGGGTAGGCGGCCCTCGACTACGGAGTTCGTAATCTCCGGCCGTGATCTTCCGATGCGGAGGTTATTCCCCTCACTCGCCGATCGGGCTTGAGAGCGAGAGGTAGGAGAGCGTGTAATTGATCTTGCTTAATTCAATCTTTTCGTTTCTGAGGAATATATAGCCATCGGCCCTAACCAACGGAGGAAACAAACTCCTCAATTCAAGGAACTAATCAAAGATAGCAAATAATATCTTAACAACTAAAAATAGCTTTCCAACTTCAGCCACTTGCGCTGATCGCCTCATCCTCGGTTGCATGCACCGAGCCCGCGACCACCGCACGTTCTGCGTCCCTGCGTGCGCCCGCACGTTCTGCTGCCCGGCGCACATCCCTGGCTCGGCGTCTCCTGGTGTAGGTCTTCCCCCACATGACAAATAGGTGGTAACTAAACATTTTAGGTGGTGCAAGTTAACTCACTTATATAGGTGGTAAGTAAACAATCCAGAAATTCGATTATGTGAAAATTTTGCCATAAACCGTATGCACCAAATGGGATCTCACGTACTGACCTACACGAAAGTTCCCCATCAATTGATCGATCAACATCTACTTGTGTTAAATTCAAGAAAAGGGACCTCCCTGCTGTTCTCAGGGAAAGAGAGAAAAATGAACCTTCATCAACATCTACTTGTGCAATTTGTTCATTCATCTCTCATTTTCTTTTGGGGAAAATTGTCATATGCTCCTCTTTCACTATGGAAATTCATTCATGTGGGCAGTATGCATAGCTACATCCTAACATTTTAAACTATGGGTAACATATGTTCCTACTAAAAAGCACACAAATTATAACAATCAATTAAGCAGTAATGATTGTTCAATCAATTTAATGTAACATGCCACAATAGGATAAATAACTTGCTATAAGATACATCCTAACAAAAACAAATTACATTGTATTGATAGGGTCCTAAATACATAGACATCATGCTAACAATAGAACCCCTAGAACGTTGCTTCATCCACATATGCAAGCGTAACTTAACAACAAACTCCATGTGTCATAAATGCAACTTAACAGCATACAACACGAATGGGGACAGGAAACGAGCAGTGATAGGGTTTGGATTGTACTCACATCGAATTGCAGCGGACGCCGGAAGAAGCCGCAGTGGGTGGATGGAGGGGAAAGGAGCAGCTACTGAGCTGGATGGCCTCCAAACAGGTCCTTGACGGTCGTGACCCCCGCTCTAGCCGCAGCACCGCACCCTGCCAGTGTCGCAGCCTACCCCAGCCGCAGTTGGTGTAGAGGGCAATTTCTCGGCGAGAAATTTGAATTAGCACTCATTCCATTCATCCTCCTCTGGTTGGCCGCTCGATCCTTCAATAAGGCCACGACCCCTGTTTTTTTTTTTTTTCAGGGGTCACACAATCCATGTACCTGATCATTGATCTGCATTCAGCCTAAACTAATGGCCCAGTTGATCTGTCCAACGCTGCGCCGTTAGGCTGGTCGAAACAAAATGGGCCATGGGCTCGGCCACTTCATTCCGAAGCCTGCTTCGCGATTAGTGGGCTGGCCGTTGCTACAAACGGCCCACGCGACGCAAAGCCTCCCTGCAGCCCGAGAGCTCGCTCGCTGTCGCTGCTATCTGTCTTGGCCATCCGTCCGCAGCCTATCCAATTCCAAATCCGCAGACCGAAGCGGAAGCGGGGCACAGAGAAGCCATGGCGCTGTCCCTCTCCCTCGCGCGCCCCGCGCCCCTCGCCGTCTCCGCCGGCGCCGGAGCCGGAGCCAGGAAGCTCCCCGCAGCCAGCCTCGCCTTCCCGGCCAAATCCTTCTTCGGCGCGCCGCTGGCAGCCACCGCGGCCTCCGTCGCGTCGCCGCTCCCGGGCAAGCCGGCCACCTCCACCTCGCTCGAGGTCGTCGCGGCGGGGAAGAAGGGGTACAAGATGAAGACGCACAAGGTTCTTTCCTGCTAGCTCGTCCTTGGCTCCTGCGAGTCATTGGGTTGTTCGGTGCCTTTTTGCTGATTCGTGTCTCGTTCGGTTTGTGTGTGCCGTCAAGGCGTCGGCGAAGCGGTTCCGGGTGACGGGGAGGGGCAAGATCGTGCGCCGGTGCGCCGGGAAGCAGCACTTGCTCGCCAAGAAGAACACCAAGCGCAAGAAGAGGCTCTCCAAGATGGTATTCTTCTGTTCCTCCACTCTAGTGCAGCTCAATTTTTCTACAGTTGCTTATTTTGTCTACAAATGAAGGCCTGTGCGTCTCTGTGAATTAGATGAGTGTGGAATGTTGATGTCAATAGCACAATGTGCTCTTGTATTTTAATTGCTTGATAGGAGTAGTTCTATTGTGATAACGTTGCTGGGAATTGAAAGGCGAAATGCAAGGCGGGAGTTTGTTTTGCTGATGTGCTCTGGGGTGATATAATAATTTGTAGTGCTCCATTTGTTACTTTCCTGGCATCTTGGTGTCTCCTTATTCATTTGGAAGCTCAATCTGCTCCTCGATCCTCAAATGTGAAATGTGTGTGGGCCAATAGATGGCATGAAAAGCATCTGGCTACAATTGATCTTGTCGAAGTTCATGGACTATAAACATGGTCGTTATATAACATTTGTTTCTGAAAATGAACTCTTTTTACCTGTACACATAAAATTACCGCTGCTATTTTTAAAAAAAATAGGAAATAGGCATGCCATATTTTGAGAAAAAGGGCTGAGGTCGGTGTTAATCGGCGTATAGCAACTTATGAATACTTCTAATTTTTACTCCATTATTGTTAGTCAGCTAATATATTTGGGGAGTACTGCCCATGAATTAGACATCCTGTTCTTCCATTTATGTGTTCTGATAATAACGTTCAAATGCATCAAGAATGTAAGGGTCTTAGGACTTGTTCTGCTGTAGAATTTGGTGATGTCATTCTTATGAATCCTGATTTCCCAGTAATCTGCACTTTTGTTAGTGTGTACTTAACTGCTTTCTTAGGTGAATCGGGCCATATTAGAGAGGTAAAAAAAAATTCAGTTTAAGTCCAGTCTTCCCAATCATTCACACATTCATCCTAATAGTCTGATGTGCTGCTTCACACACAAACCTAGGAGTTGATGTTGGCATTAGCACCCATGGAGTGAAGCAAAATTTCTCTTTTTTGTGACAGAAAAAATCATTAACCTCTGGCCATAAAGTTGCAGGTCACTTTTAATGTATCCTTTTTTTCACAGCACTTTTTGGTGCCGTTCGGCTGGTCACAAAAGCCGGCTTGTTCGGCTTCTTTTTTCAGTCGAAACAGTGTTTTTCTCTCACAACAATTCAGTCGGAATAGTGTTTTCTCTCAACAATTCATTAGCAGTCTGAACTTGACATTTTTGCAGCCGGAACAGTGTTTTTCAGCCAGAACTGTGGCAATTTCATTAGCAGTCTGAACTTGACATTTTTGCTGCAACAACATTTTTTCTTAAATCACACTGCTATATTTCTTTCAGGTCCAAGTCAACAAGAGTGACTACGACAATGTGACGGGTGCACTGCCCTACCTCAAAGTGAATAGGAAAGCAAACTGAGATATATGTGGTGTTCAAAAATCATTAAGTTTCGTTCCACCAAATTGTAATTTTGTGTATCTTCCACTGTATTTCCTTTTCAAATATTGAGGCATCATTTCAAAGCAAGCGAAAAACAACTCCTGGTATCAACAGTTTAGCGATATTTCAGAATGAGGTGCACTGCTTGGTATAGTTGTTATTTAGTTGCAAATATGTGCAAATAGGAGTGGCTGTCTTGAATCTCAAGCTAGTGGGTTTCATCTGTATTTCTGGCTGCCAAATTGTGGCCATTTTCTGGGTGACCAGTGTCATGACCAGATTTTGGTGATGCCAATGTTTGTCATTTTTTTTTTGAAACACATTTGGCAAAAATTTTAGAGTCACCAACCAAATATGTGTAACAAACTTTCTTTTCTTCCTCTGCTTTGTGATCGCCAAGTTCATCTTAATTATCTGCTTTGAGAATAGCAAATGATCGAGACGGCCTTATTTAGCTCTCTTCTAAGGTTCTACCTAAAATCCGCAACAAGCCTATTTGTAGTTTTGCACACTGCATAGCTGTAAAGAATGGCTGTGTTCATCCAAAATAGAGAGGGGTGAATTGAGTTACCTAAAACGATAATGCTTGGCCACGGGTGTCCGTTCCATCTGGACGCCGCCACTTCGCTCGCTTCTACGGCCTTCTCCCACCGTGCGCTCCGCCCTGCGCCGCTCGCTCGTTTGTTCCTCGCTCCCGCCCATCGCGCGCCCCACCGGTACCTCGCTCCTCGCTTCAGACGTGCACCGCGCCGCTCGCTCCCTCCCATAGCGTGTGCCGCTCGCTCGGCTGAGCCAAGGCCAGTGTCGCTGGTGGTGGTGGTGGTAGTGCTCACGCGCCGCCGCTGGTGCTGGTGCTGGTGGTGCTCGTGCGCCGCCGGATCCCACCCCAACGACCAAAATCGATCGGCCCCGGCCTTTCCCTCACCTATGTTGCAAATGTATGTTTCAAATATTTCAAATGTTTCAGGGGTATGTCGCAATTGTTACATATGGATGTTGCAAAAGTAGATCAAAATGTTGCATATTTTGCAAGTGTCTTCAGAGGTATGTTACATGAGTTTATTCAAAATGGTCCATCTATTTCAAACGTATGTTGCAGCAAGTGTTTTATTTGGATGTTGCCTATGTTTCACGCACATGTTGTAAGTGTTTTATCTAGATGTTGCATATGTTTGACACATATGTTGCAACAATATGTTCCAAATGTTTCAAAAGTGTCAGACATATGTTGCATCTAAGTGTTTCATGTTGCAAGTGTTTCATGGGGGCACGCCGGCACGGTGAGTGATGGGCGCATGGCCCGGGCGCCATGGGATGGGGTGCGACGAGCTGGGGGTCCGGCGGACGGGGCGCAGCGAGCGAGCTGGGGGCTAGCACCCGGGTCTCGCCCACGTGGAAACAGAGAATGGGATCAGGGGGAAGGAGCGGGGCGCAGCGATGGGGGTAGGGTGCGCGTGCAAGGCGGGGGCGAGGCGGACGGGGGCGGGCTGCATGGCCGTTCGAACACGAGGAGCGACGGGCACAACATTGAGGGCGGGGTGCGAGTGCAAGTCGGAGCGAGGCGGACGGAGGCGGGCTGCACGGACGTCCGGACGCGTGTGTCCGTCCGGACGACCGGACGCTAGCCACGCCCTACCTAAAAACTTCTAGTCTAAGAGTATGTTTGGAAGCACATAGCTAGTTACTAGTTGGGGCTAAAAGTAGCCTAAATTAGCTATGGTTGGCTAGCTAGTTAGCTAATAACTAGTTGGAGACTTGACTAAAAAATTAGTCCACCTATTAGCTCTCATGTTTGATACACTAGAGCTTAGCTAGCTAATAATTAGCTCTAGTATCCAAACAAGCCCTAAGACTCTCCTCGAATTCACAAGATAAACATGAACATATTATCTGGCGGTTTATCTAGTATTCTACTAACCAACCTAAAGAGTTTTGCAGCCTAGAACAAATCCTATGGTCTAACCTATGCGCTACTTTAGGAAGCAAAGGCACATAAAAGCACACAAGTAAATGCGGATACGGATAGCAAGCTCCCGGAGACGACGATATGCGTCTTGTTATACAAGTAGGCGAAGTGTTAGCTCGTGGAGCTATATGCTAACACACATGCATAAAGTGTTACACTTGGTGGTTGGCACATTTGATCAAGGGTGGTGAAGTTTCGGGTCAAAAGGAGCTATTTTGTATTGACCGGACTCTGCCTTGGGCAGTGACCGGACTCTGACCCTGCATTCGGTTAGTGGTGCACTGTGATGGCCGCCATCGGTCCTTTGACCGGACGCTGAGAAGAAATAGGACCGGACGCGCTGGGGGTGCGTCTGGTCAGGTGATGACGTACGCTGACGAAAGCATCTAAACAGGCTAGTAAGGACCGGACTCTGGTCCGCGTCCGGTCACCTATGATCGGACATGTCCAGTCATGATTTTGCCTCTCTGGAACCTTACTGGAAACGACCGGACTCCAGTGATGGAGCGTCCGGTCACTTTGAGCAATGCGTCCGGTCACAACTTAAGTGCACTGATGACCGTTGAGATCGGACGATCAGCATTTGAAGCCCGGGACACGTGGCAAAAATCTGAGGACCGGACGCTAGGGTCATGCATCCGGTCAACCTGACCGGCACATCTGGTCAGCTCGTGTTTCACTGGACAGGGGAGCCAACGGCTCTATTCGTGGGGGTTTCTCTATTTAAGCCCCATGGCCGGCTCAAGCTCACGCTCTTGGCCATTTGCATTGACATAGCAACCTTGTGAGCTTAGACAAAACCCTCCCACTCATCTCTATCATTGATTCATCATCTTTGTGAGATTGGGAGAAAATCCAAGTGCATTGCTTGAGTGTTTGCATCTAGAGGCACTTAGTGTTTGTGTTTCACTGCGGGATTCGCATATTACTCTTGGTGGTTGCCGCCACCTAGATGGCTTGGAGCAGCGAGGATCATCGAGCGGAGGTTGTTGATTATCTCCGGCTTCGATCGTGGTGATTGTGAGGGGTTCTTGACCTTTCTCCGGTGGAGAGCCAAAAGGTACTCTAGTGGATTGCTCGTGGCTTGTGTGATCCTCATCTTGTGTTGGTTGTGTGGCACCCTATTGAGGGTTTGGCGTGTGATGCCAATTAGCGCGTAAACCTCCAAGTGAGTGAATCGCCACAACGAGGACTAGCTTGCCGGCGAGCAAGTGAACCTCGGTAAAAATCATTGTGTCATCATTTGATTTCGAGGTGATTGGTCTTCATTGGTATTCATTCTTGTGATTGATTGGTTCATTTCTCGACTCAGCGGTATAACCATCTTGCTCTCTATCTTTACATTACCGCAAATTAGTTATCAAGCTCTTTAGTGTAGCTAGTCGTGAGAGCTTGTTAGTTTGGTTAGTGTGGCTCTTTAGTTAGCCTTTGAGAGCACACTAACTTAGTGTAGTGACATAGCCATTGTGTGGATAGAGACTATAGAAACTAAAATTGTGGTAGGTGGCTTGCATTTTTAGTAGGTTAGCGCAACACTCGCTTCGCCTCATATTTGTCTAACGGGTTTGCTAAGTGTTGTTGTAGAAATTTTTAATAGACTATTCAACCCCCTCTAGCCATTAGGACCTTTCAGTGACCCTAACCTGGACAAAATTGTATAACAACACACATGCCCCTCCCCATGCAAGAAGTCCAGTGGATTCTTTTTGGTGGAAAGATGTTCTCAAATTAGCTGAAGATTTTAGAACTCTTACTAAAAGGACCTAGGATGTCACCTAGAGGGGGGGTGAATAGGCGTTTCTAAAAATTAACACCATTAAATGCGGAAACGATTAGTAAAGAGAGTTTCCAAAATGGAAACTCCAAATAAAGAGTAGTACCACCCCTCACAAGTTAGCCATAGAGTATATAAAAGATACTAAATGAATCTAGGAGCCAAACGCCTGCAACCAAAGAGTTAGAACACAATACAATTCAGTTTGGCGCAGGGGCTAATACCGGACGTGTCCGGTAGGTATAAGGACGTGTCCCACATGACTTCAAAGGAACAGCCTCGAACTTGCTCCTTTTTTGATTTCTATCTTCAATCCAAACTGCAGAAACTATTAGAGATAGTAATATACACAGAGAGAACTCAGAGAATAGCTAGAGTAACACAAATATCAAATAAAATGCGAATTGAGACACGATATTTGTTTTATCAAGTTCGGACTCGTTCGAGTCCTACTCTCGCTTGAGGGGGGCTGCAGGCGCACCCAAAGGAAGGTCAGCCCTAGAGGGTACCACAAAGGTCACTCTAGCCAAGTCTTTTCCAACTCATTTTCCTCCTTCCACTAAATGATTCTCGAGGCGGCGAATCGACCATTACAAACTTTCCGAAGCAACCACAATCTCTCGGTTGCTCTCCGACGATGCCTAGCCGTCTAGGACCAAAGAGTCCAAGAGTAACAAATGCGAATCATGAGATTGATAATATGCACAAGTGCTCAAGTGGTGGCTTGCTCTCTTTTTCAAATTCTCTCTTAACCCACAAATTGATTTTGCAATTTGGATCACACACTCACTAAGAGAGGGTTGGGAGAGTTGGTAAGGCTTAAAAATGTGTGTCTATCTCAGCAGAATCAGCAGCCTCCAAAGGTGGAGGCTTGGGGGTATTTATAGCCCCCTTTGGAAAACTAGCCATTTTATAGCCGTTGCAATACCGGACACGTCCGGTATGACTTACACTGCGCCAACGGTAACTAAGTTACAGTGAAGTTGTGAGGCGTCGGAACTCCCGATGAATGCCGGAACTTCCGACCGTCGGAACTCCCAACTTACGTCGGAAACTCCTGATCCTCAGCACATTTGAAAACCATTCCAACCGAGTTAGAATATTTGAGGTGTCGGAACTCCCGATACATGTCGGAACTCCCGACCGTCGGAACTTCCGACTTACGTCGGAACTCCCGACACTCAGTACATTTAAAAACTGTTGTTGGCCTCTGGTCATCCATACCGGTATGACCAGGAT